TTATTTCTCTGCCCATGTTTCTTCTCCCTCACTACTACTCTCAAGAGATACCTTAAATTAATTATAGCCTTTGTAAGACAAATAAGTTGGGAAAAAAAAGAACAGCACAGTTTGCCTTAATGCAGATGAGCTGAGAATTTCCTTGGAAATTGTAATCTGAGTGTTGAGTAAAGCAAAAATTAAAGTTTTTAAATATGAGTGAACAAACAGCATATTCCATAATTGAAACATTGTAGAGCAATACACTTTTTTTTTAAACAGGAATAGTTGCATTCCTTTTCTTTTTTCGTAGCAAGTAAGCTACACTGCATTGTAACAAAAAATTACATCTAGATTTCTTTTCCAGTGACAGAGAATAGTCAGACTCTCAGATATGGTCCTTACTCTATAATATTTACTTACACCATCAAGAACAGGAAGAGAAGAGGTAAATAAGTTTACTTTTTTTCCTTTCTTTGTATCAGTAATTTTCTTGCAAGGACTGCTTCTTTAAAGTAGTAAAATTAACTGCTTAGGTTTGAGTATCATTCTTCCACTCTTTTTGTCTACAGTAGTCCCACAATATCAGACTCTGAAAATCCTGGCTGTTTTAGAGAAAAAAGTTAACACATTGCCCATGTGTATTTTTAAACCACACACACACAAAAAAAGAAATAAAAAAGTATCTTCTATTCATAATTTAGTATGCAGAATCTAACATGAAAGACCCAGAAGACCTCACTTAGAGTGAGGCCTCCTTGGGACACTAGTAGGTACATGGAAAATCTGTTCTCAGAGGAGCTTCCAGAAGGGTAAATCAAGAGAGCAAACAAAAGAAAAGAGAGATTTGATATGACTTGCCCTAGTTTGCAGGGAAAATGACTGAAAGAATTGAGAATAAAACACAACTGTCCTGACTCGTGGGTTGCTTCTCTTATAACTGGAATTCAGTTTTTGTAGGCACCTCAAAATGTCATTTTCTTTGTTAGTGAAACAGTCAAGAATAAACATCCGTAAGTAAGAAAAGGCAGATTATCATACAAAAGGCAGATTATCATACAAATGCCAAAAAAGGTTTAACTAGATTTACAAAGGATTTGCTGTGCAATGTAGCTGAATTCTTTGAAGGAAATTGTGTGAATAAGAATAAACTTTAAGATATTTGTATAAGTATGATGTGCTTTGATTCATACATGAGGATAATTGCAATCTATCAATGGAAATATATCTTGAAATATCTGGCAAATAAAAACAGCTTTCAGGTTTTAATAATGTTAATTAATACCTCTTGTTTGTGAAAAAACAGGACTTCACATTGCTGAAATTAATATCTGATCTGCTTCAGAACCCTGGAAATTCTGGTTCAAAAGAAGTTCAAAAATATTGTGTACATTGAAGAAAAGATTACTATGAAGGGGAAGGATTGGAAAGAACCCATATTTTTTGTTTTTGTTTACTTCTGAACATGAAAAAGATTAATTTTACCTTGAGAATTACAATCATTCCTGGTTAGTTGCCGTGCAAGGTCTTGTAGTCCCTTCACCTCGCTAATTTTTATTTATAATTTTTAATATAAACTTATGGAAAGGTACTAGGATATAATAAACTGAAATCTCCAGGTTACTTAAATGCTGCTTCTATTCTTGCCCTCACATTTCTAGTCATGCTGTCAACTCTGTGAACTGGTACTGAAGTGAACAGGATTTCAGACAGTCTTCAGGAAACCACACTTTTAGAGTGCAATAGACATAAGTGATAAAATATTACTCTAGGAGAGGAAAGCTAGAGAGAATTGTGGAGCAATTCCACTATCTGAGTAATGTACTTCGTAATATTTAGCACAAAAGTTCTCTTAGGTGCTGATATTAATTGGCATATTGATAGATATACTGTCATTTGTGTTTTACAGAAACATGCTCATATTAATGGGTTAATTCAGTGAAGATTGGAAAGAATGCTTCCCCCAACTCCCAATAGATTTCAGTTAAGGCTAAGACCAGACCTTCAAAAATTATCAGCACCTTAACAGTTTGGTTGTTAAAAATTGTTGAGTTTTCTGATGTTGGCTGTGGGATTACTCCCACAGACAACACACATAAGGAGCACTCATTGAAACTGCTGACTCACTTCAGAGTGGATAATAATTTAAGTGAATTACCTTGAATTAACTGAAACAGATGTGTTCCTGGTCTTGGCAAAATTAACCTGTAAAAAATTAAAATGAGTAAATTACTAGTCAGCTAACTTGATCCATAAATTTCTCTCTGGAGTGATCTAATGGAAGTTCTGGGTGCAGGTTTGGGCTGTATGTTTAGCAGCTAATTTGCATTTTAGCTTGTATTTGCCTTGCTACAATAGAAGAATAATTAGAATAATGTGCACTGTATTAAATATGTTGACTGAACCTGAAATTGGAAGAGATTGTATTTGGTATATAAATCTGGAGAGCATGGCCAGGTTTGGTCATAAATATGTAACTTTCTGAATTCTATCACAGATAGTAAGAAACGTCAATGACTGACAAAGTGTAGATTTCCAATTATTAAAAAAAATTAAACTGAGTTTTTGGCATGTATTCATTGCAAATGTTTCATCATTTCTACTTGAAAAAATAGAATGCAGGGTGCATAACCAGAGGTGATTCCTGGGTGAATAACAAACTAATGTTTTCAAAATTCCGGTGGGAAAAGTAAGACTTATGTTTGTATTTTGCAGTAGGAATTAGTTCACTCTGTTGTTTTGAAAGGAAGAAATATGTTTCTCAATACTCTGGTGGAAGGAATTTATTAACTTGGTCTGTGATAACAAATAAAACTTTTGGAATTATAAAGAAGTATCATTATAGTATGTTTTAAAACTCTATCAAATGACTGATGATATGTAAAGATTTTTGTTTTTCAAGGAGGATGAAAGAGGGATAGCAATTTTTTATCAAAGCCAGATAATGACAGCTTTGTCATCAGCCCACCTACTTCAACTTCCAGGTGGTCTCAGGGAAATTGTAAAGTTTTGATGTTGCAGAAAACACAGCCACATCTTAGAGGGAAAACGAGATTTATATTAATGAAGGCAAGCTGTGTGAACACAAGATTATGTTTAGCTGCATTGCCGTGTCTCATAAAAAAGCAATCTGACTTATTACTGAGAATTAAGGCTGGTGCAGTAAAGGTGCAAGAGCTGCCAGCTGGGAGATGTGCTGCGTGCTTGAGATGCTCTTCTCAAGGTCAGGCCATTCCCTTCATACTCCAGCTCTGAAGTTCTGGACTAATTAAGTGTCCCAAATAAGCTTGCCTGATTCATAGGTTCAATGCAGGCTGGAAGCATGAGGTTTTGTTGAGTTTGCTTTTACAAAGGGAAGAACACAAGAGCTCTGTGTACTGTTTTCATTCAGGTACTTCCAGGAGGTGGGGATAACCCAGGCTGGCACAGTTTGCATACGCAGTACAAAATCTTTCCCAAAGAATTTCTTTGGTGTTATAACACACTAATGAATAAAAAGAGAGCTCTTCTATCTTGTGAGACTGGGGGAGGCATTTTTCCATTATTACTGCAGTAGAAGCATTGCTGTAGAGGAAGAGAAAGCTGGCAGGCGTAGAAGAGAGAATTCATCAACATTTTAAAAACAGATTTAGAGCCCTTTTTAAGTCAGAAGAAACAGCAGCCAGGCCTATGAGACTTTGACACCCTCGGTGCTTATAACCACAGCCACCTGTACTTTTACAGGGAACAATTTCAAGTATGAATGCCTGATTTTATACAGACTAATAAAATAACATTTGCTTTTTTATTTTTTTTTAAATTATTTTTATTTTTTCTTTAATCAACTTCATATCTGTGGCTTTCCTTTCAGTTCTAACATATAGTTTTCTCTTTACCTCTCTGTCTCTGCAAGAAAAACCTCATGTTGAAGAACATAAACAGTGATGTTTTACTGAGTAATAACTTTTTAATGACATTTCATAGAAGGGCCCCATATCAAACACAGACATGAGATGGGAAGGCAGTTGTGTAGGTGAAGGCTAATGCAAACCATGAAAATTATGCAGATTGCATGGAAATACCCTTACTTTACATATTGTGCACAGCAATACTGAGCTTCTATGCTGTTAACCTTTGTTATGTCAGCTATTGTGGTGACCTACATAGCGCTATGAATAATTTTGCCAAATCATAAATAGGCCTTGAAGTACAGTTTTATGGCACGCAGTATTTTTTTCTATTAAAATATTTGCCAAAATTACTTTTGTTCTGAAATCTGTGTAAAAACTTTTGTACCTAATTATTTATTTTGGCTGTACTTACATTCACCTCAGAAGTAACATTAAGTATTTCAGTGTTAAATTTATTTGATTTCTTGTATATTTTTAGCATTCCTCATTTTTGAGAACACCCATTTTTCAAGTGTTCATTCTTTAAAAATGGAGAATTAATTTGTGTCAGAATGTGATGTGTCTACAGTTCATCCTTTATAGAAACAGCACTTGTTAGCATCGGCAGTTCATGTAAAAAGAGTAAGTAATTCTGAATTACTCTTGGGAAAAGAAAAAACAAAAGCACCACATAAGACAAAAAAACACGACACAGCCATGAATTCAAAGGTGAAAAAATTAAAGATGTAGAAACCATACAGAACCTAGGAGATTTACAACAGCACACCATCCTGATGTAGTATTTTCCACAGATTGTATACATTTATATACACCCATTTATAGTTTTACTGATATATATACTGAAAGTTCACCTCTTATCTGCTGCTTGTTCTTGTGCTCTTTCTTTGAAAATATACATAATTAAAATGTACTATATAAGCTGTAAAAGCATGTTACTCTTATAGTAAAATAGGTAGAATTAATTTCTCTCATCTAGTGAGAGAAACATTACATTGCAAACAACATCCCATTTTGATTCCAACTATGTAATAAAAAAAAAAGCATTTTAAATTGCATGTTGCATCAGTTGAAGATTTTATTACAACAAGAAAAGGGAAATGCAAACATTTTCAGAGCTGAAGTGACCTTTTACTAACAGTTGTTCTGAAGATGAGCAAGGCTATTATTCATAAATGAGTCATTATTCACCAGCTGAAACAGCACTAAGGCAGACTGAGCAGGAACCAACAGAAGAGAAACTCAGTAATGGTTCTCAGGCTAAACAAAAGGCTCATCAACCTTTGATTCCCTGGTGTCTGTTTCTTTCATTTCATTTGGAAATGCCTGCTGAGGGACAAGCAGGCAGTGGCTTGGGCATGCATGGAGAAGCAACTGATTCATCTGGAAGGTGAAAAAAGTCCAATCTCAACCCTGAGCCATCTATATTCAGTAGAAGCATCTCATTTGGAAAAAAAAAATAAGGTGAATAGATATCCTGATGACCTGGGCTAAAGGAAAAAATGCAATTAAAACTGTGAAAAATGCTTCTAATGATCAGAGCTGCTTTTTGTAACAGCAGAAATTTATTACACCATGTCATTACAATATAACTGCTGTGGTGAATTTAATTTCTGCATTAGTCACAACATTTTTCTGGAAAGCAATAAGGTTTATACCATTCTATGGATTATAATGATGTAGTATGCTGAGGTATGTTGTATTTTTGGTTTTTTTTTTACTTTAGCAGAAACTCCATTTTCCCTTGACCAAAGACAGGAAGTTATTAATGAAACAAAAATAATTCTCTGAGAAGGAAACACAAAAGTATGTTTGTTAAAACTTTCTGGTGGAAAACCCCCCCTACTTGATTGATAGGTACACACCTGAAGAAGAGTGCCTTGAGAGCACTAATGAGCATTAGTAGTCCTGAACAGGCTCACCAAGGATCCCCATATGACCTATGGGAGCCCATTTCAGCTCCTGTGGATGTACTTACCTGGGCATGATATATACTGTAGGTTCTATGCCATCATACTTGTGCACTTGCAAAGATGAACAGCTGTGTATCCACTTTAGGTATTAATTCACTGAACTGTGAGACAATGCAGTAAAGGAAGAAGTAGGTTTTAAAATAGAGCTTATTCAGGTTAAACACAGGTTTAACTTACTGCTTAGGTTGTGGATAGCTACAAAATTCACCTAAAATGAAATATTTTAATATCTACCTATATGTTTTGAGGAATTATTATTTTAGTATCTGGCCAAAATACCAATACTTCAATATCTACAGTCAGCTATTAGACTGCTAAAGGAAAGACTTACTGCTCTGAGTAAATGATTCTATAAGTCTAAGTAAAGGAAATGAAATTTTGTTGATGCCAATAGACATGTTGGAAGTATTTATCTCCACTGGTAATGCTGGGGAGGGAAATAAAAACTTTCCCCCTGAATACTGAGCAATTTCCTTATCTCTAGGTAGTTAACTTTGGCTTTTATATGAAACACCTCCAGCAGTGGAGGACAGATTGTCCTACTTGAAACATTAATTATCCTACATATAAAACTGCTATACATTTAGGAAAAAAAATAGCTGTTCTATATTTTCTAGGGCCTTAGATGTTATGTATTTTTATCTTCTAATCCAGTAGAAGATATCCTTCAGATTAAGTTTCAGTTTGGGAGTTTAGTGTTATTAGCAAAAAGAGAAAAGTAATTACACTTGAAAGCTGAGGACACCTGATGTGGAAATTGTCTGTAGACAGACTATATAAAATGTGACAACTGTTTTCAAGTGAAATCAGCTCTAAATGTCATCATTAAACATGTTGTTGATCATTTTGTGGAACCATCTTACGGAGTTATTTGTCATGAGAGATTTAATTTAAAAGACATTCTAAAGGATTAACATTGTGGGTCTTACAGTTGAAACCAATAAATGGGTTAACTCTTCAAGAAACCTTGTATCTTTAGTCACAAACACCAGTTAAATGTGACTTGGAGGTTTTCAAGGTGTAATACAGAAAAATTAATGCCTAGCATCATTGTAACACAACCACTGTAGCCTAAGGTCTAAATTTTGAACAGATGAGGCAGAGGTCTTTGATGTGTTCAAATATTTTTAGTCCTTTAAAAAATGTTTGCAAACTGACAATGTTCTATTTTTAAGAGTGTGAGCATTAGTTTCTAGATTTATTGCAAACTGCCTTTTCATGCATGCTATTGGTGAATCTATGTTATTACTTTGCACCTAATTTTTGCATCATATGAAAATACTTTGGCTCTTAACTGTGATTGTTTGTGCTTCAGAGAACATATATTGATTGTGTTTTGTAATAAATTTCCTGTAAGGTAGTAAACCAGTTAAGCTTTACAATTGAATAATACCAATTTTTTTTTTCCTCTTTATTTTAATGCTACCGAAACAAGTGTTGTAGCTTATTCTGTATTCGATCCTTCGGAATATACATGCTATCCTTTAAAATCTCTGCTTAGTTTTATTAGCTTTAACTGTGTATGAGACAGTTTCTTTCTTAATGTTCTATCAACCCTCCATGGTTTAGGAGACCATGACAATTACTTCCAAAGCCCGACATTAATTTGTATTTAGGTGTTGTAGATGGCTGACTTCCTAAACTGTTGAGTATTCAGAGGCTTTTGCAGATACATTTGGGTAGTCAGATATTCAGAAAGATCTAGCCACATGTTCTGCAGCCTGTGAGCGTAGATTTTAGAGCTGGATTTTTGAAAGCTTTCATTATTCCTGCAAAGGTACATATACACATGCATGAACATACATAGAAAACTTTGTTTTGGGATAGAAGGAACTTTTCTAAAAGCTACTGTAATGCGCTCTAGAATAACCAGTATTAGGCATTTAAGGTATAAAAATGTTTTTTGTCTAGGATGTGCTCAAGAGGGAGGATTGCCCCTGCTCTTCCCACTATGTTCATATATGTGTTTAAGCTCCAGTTACTGCAAGTACTGTGCTAGACTTTGGGAGTACATGCATTGCAGCATGTAAAAACAGAAGCAAAACCGAACAAATTTACTGTTAAATTCCATAAAAAATTGTCAACTATGTAAGAGGAGAAAAGAAGATTTACACTAAGAAAAGACCATCTTTGTGATGGGTGTTGGATATGTGTGAACTCTAAGATGTGTTCTATTTCAGTATGACTTCACTGAATTCCCATGCTAGTGCTGCTCCTGCAAGGACATCCATTCTGGCTGGAGCATTTCAACTACAAATGCAGCTGCTCAAGTTACTTCAAGGTCAGTCATGCTTTCATAAACCAAAATAATTTTTGACAAGAAGAAACTTAATTGGGCCAATAGTTGGATATTAAAATTTTAAATTATGCAAATGGATTGGCATGCAACAGCTATATTTGGAGTCTGCTCTTTTTAATTTCTTTTAGTGGAGGAATTCTGGCAGCAAAAGGCCTCTTGTATATCTGATGGATGCTCATATCTGGTGATCTTGTACTCAAGAAAATCATTACTTGTGTTCACCAGAAATCCTCATTAAACAAACTTAAATTTGTTCCTCTGTTTGAAACTCAACTATCCCTGATGGACTGTGATGAATGCTGTTATTATTTATATTAACCTTTCAGCTTTTTAAGGAGTACAACATAGTAAAGTGTTTCATGTTATTAGGCTAAAAGGAAATAATCATATAAACAAAATGCAGAGTTGTGGGAAAGTATAGCTGTTCTACATACTGTAAGACTTATAATAGTTTAAAAGTGATGTTGGGCATCAGGTGTTTTCATACCCAAGTGGGGAGAAAAAGAACATGGGTATGCTCCCTGTTAACTAAACAAACAGCCTGAAATTGAATTATGTACTTCTGATTACTTTGGGGACCTCTTTCTTTTCAAAAAGAAAGCAGCCAGCCTTGCCCATGCAGTTGCCCAAATGGCGTTTCAGGTGCTGAACACCATATGAAATAATCTGCTCTCCACTGTAGATCAGTTAATACTAAGCCAGCCACTGATCTCGTAACTAGGCAATTAATATGAGAAATGGAGATGATAACTTTAAATTTTATGATCTAGAACAATGCAGCATACAAGTTCCCTGCTGTGTTCTGTAAATAAAAGAAAAAATAATACAAAAGCCTGCTTATAATTTCACACACACTAGTAATACTGAATAAATGCTCTTTAATAACATCTTTCTTTGAACAGTTTTCATTTGTTATGCTTTAATTGTTAGGAATGCTTTGTGAGCTGACTTCAGCAATTGTAACTTTTAGGAAGGAAGAAAATCAGTGCTTTAGTTAAAATACTTGCACCATACCATTTCAGTTACAATTTAAATGAAAAAAAGAAAACAGTGAAATTAAGTTGCAAGACTACTATACCCAGCAGAGAGAAGAGGAATGGCAGAATAGCTTGTGTGGAGGCACCCTGAACAGAAAAAAAAATGTGCAGAAATCTGATTATTTCATGCTTAGGAAATCTGTTTTGGTCCAACAAAACTCAGCAGACTAGAATAAGATTGATACAGTTGCATGTATCTTTACTCCAAAATCAGGAAGATAGCAAATGACTAAGAGGAGGAAAACAAAATCACTGTAGTGGAAGAGGGAATGCTTTTGGTTAGCAATAGATATTTAAGTTTGGGGTTGGTTTGTTTGGAGGTGTTTTTTTTTGTTTGTTTGTTTTTACATGGGGGGTAATTTTGACACTAATGCCATTATTCTAGGGGGTAGCTATTTATTCTTATGGAAATATATTGAGATATAGTTGCATTATTTTACATGCACTCCTCAATGAGAGGAGTTTTCTACAAGTGTGGTCATTGGTATTGCTGATTTCTAGCTTTATTAGTACACATTCTGAACAGAAGCCTTGGCTCATTTTGGGTTTTTTTAGCTCTCATTGTCTGATAATCAATCATAATTTGGCTCCAAATAACTGGCATAAAGGGATGGCATCATCTGTGTTGTAGCAGAAATTTGTGAAGTAAGCTAAGGGCAAACTTGGTCAAGAACGGTATGGTTTATTTAAAAATAAAGTATTCCTATATTATTTGTGAACCAGAATGCCAGAATAAGCTGTGGTGTTCTTCATTGCAGCAAGATAAATGTTGTGTTGTTCAAAAGTTTCAGGTATCACACACAGAATCAGTAGGCTGGAAGAGACTTTCAAGATAGAGTCCAACCCAGCCCTAACACCTCAACTAAACCATGGCACTGAGTGCCACATCCAGTCTTTTTTAAAGACATTCAGCGATGGTGACTCCACCTCCCCGGGCAGACAATTCTAGTACTTTATCACTCTTTCCATAAAAATGATTTTCCTAATACCCAGCCTACTGTGTCCTCTCATTCTCTCAGTTGCTGCCTGGAGAAAGAGACCAACCCCCACCTGACTACAGACATCTTTCAGGAAGACAGAGTGATAAGGTCACCTCTGAGCCCCCTTTTTCCAGCTCCCTCAGCCGTTCCTCAGAGAGTTTGTGTTCCCAGCCCCTCACCACTTTCATCGCCATCCTCTGGACACACACAAGCATCTCCACGTCCTGCCCAAACTGAGGGGCCAGAACCGGACACGGCACTCAAAGTGCAGCCTCACCAGTGCTGAGCACAGGGGAAGAATGACCTCCCCACTCCTGCTGGCCACACTATTCCTGATACAGGCCAGGATGCTGTTGGCCTTCTTGGCCACCAGGGCACACTGCTGGCACATGTTCAGCTGGTTGTTGTCCAGTACCTGCAGGTCTCTTTGTACCTGGGCACTGTCCAGCCACACCGACCCCAGGCTATAGCATTGCGAGTTATTGTGGCCAAAATGCAGGACTCAGCACTTGCACTTCTTAAACTTCATCCTGTTAGACTTTGCCCATCCATTCAACCATTCCAGGTCTCTCTGCAGAGCCCTCCTACCTTCCAATAGAGCAACACACACTCTCAGCTTAGTGTTGTCTGCAAATGTACTAATGAAAGACTCAATACCCTCATCCATGTCCTCAATGAAAATATTGAGCAGAACTGGCCCCAGCACAGACCCCTGGGGGACACCACTGGTGACCGGTGCTGCATCCAGCTGGGGCCATTCACCAGCACTCTCTGGGCCCAGCCATCCAGCCAGTTCCTAATCCAGCAGGGTGCTCCTGTCCAAGCTGTGGGCAGTCAGCTTTTGCAGGAGTAAGTAATCTGGAACTACACCAGTGAGCCAGGAGTGCTGGTAAATGATGGAGAGTGGCTTCACAAGCTCATCTGCCAGCTCCCCCATCACCCTGGGATGGATCCCATCTGGTCCCATAGATTTATGGGCAAAGGCGGCATTAAGCACTTCCACCTTCTCCCCATCTGCTGTTACTAAGTTCCATCCCACATCCAGTAGAGAACAAAGGTTGGTCTTTAACCATAAATATATTTGTAAAAACATCTTTAATTATCCTTTACAAAAGTTGCCAAACTAAGTTCAAACAGAGCTCTGGCCTTCCTAACTTTTTTTCTACATGCCCCAGCAACCTCCTTCAATACTTTCTGAGACACCTGACCCTCCCTCCAAAGAGGATGCAGCCTCTTTTTATTCCTAAGTTCCTCCAAAACCTCATTGCTCATCCAGCCTGGACATTTACCTCCTTGACTCATTTTTTAGCACACAAGGACAGTCTGTTCCTGTGTCCTCTAGGTCTCCATTTTGAAGCACATGTACCTTTCCCAGACTCCTTTGTTTTCAAGTGCTGCTTCCCAAGGAACTCTGAATAAGTCTCCTAAATAGTATACAAGTTCAAAGAATAGATCTGAGAAAATAACTGTTTGAAAGAAACAACTGTTTCCAGGCACAAGAGCTTAATACTAGAGGAGCCACCTTTCTTTGTTATATTTTAAAATATATATTAAAAGATGTTAAAGATGATTTTGCACAGTGTATTATGGTTGTGTGCTCACTTTAAATATAGGAATGTGTAAAATAAAATTGTAATTTCTTACAGGTACCACTTATTTTTTAAAATTGAGTAGACATCCATGTCTTTGAGATAAAGCTAATTATTTTATGGTCTCAGAATGTGATGAAGATTCATCATAATCTTAGTACATCATTCCAGAGTCACATCCTTATGTTCAGTTAAATTTGATGTAGTTTTTATTTGATGTATAAACAAGATCCTCAAATTCAAAGTGTTAATAAATCTTCTGTAATTTACTATAAATCTACTAACCATGGATTAGAAGCTTCCTCAAAAAAGGGGGGTCATCTGTGGTTGAACATTATACATGTTTGTTCAGGTTTCTTCAACTTACAAACTAGCTATATTTCATCCTAGAGTGTATATGATTTTATGACCTGTCAGGTGTCATGAATGAACTACACAGCTTTGTGAATTACTGTGCCTCATCTGAGTTGGAGTACCTGCTCATAAATGCATCCTTAACTGCCTTTACATCTGCATATATGCTATAAAGCACAATAAAATAAACCTTTCACTGGCATAATTGAGTTGTAATGGCTTAACAAGTTTTCTCCCTTCACCTAACTTTTGTTATCCATTAGTTGGGTAGGTGATTTCCCTGTCAAATTGAGAGATAATGCAGTTTTGTTTCAAATTTGGGCTAAATCACATGTATTGCAGACCTAGATTCTGAAGACTTGTAGGTTTTGACTCTTCTAAAGACCAGTTGAAGAGTACTACTGCCTCTTTTATTGCTTCTCAAAAAATTGATTAATTACTTGGGAAAAAAGTTGTCAAGATGGCCATTGTTTATCTCCCTTAAAGTTTCTTTATCCATATTTTAGATGCATGTATTGAGGCATAGCCTTTAACACTATATTCTACAAGATGGTAAAGCAGCAATAGAGAAATACTAAACATTTAAAAATAGAGTAGAGACAGGTTCAGTTTTAGGATGAATTTTGTACAGCCTAGCTAGGAAAGAGAAGGAGTCTTCAGATACAAACATATAGAAACCAAGTAGGAGTTTAGAGAGGCAAAATTCATATTCATATCCTAGGATGATTTTGTTTTGATTTATATACACTCTACTCTGTAAGAAGACCTTTCAATGAGTGAAAATTTTAAACTGTTGTTTACACTTTCTACAGAAAATTAGGTGTTGTGTTAAACTAGCTTTGATTTTGCATTTAAATTTACCTTAATTGAGAAACAGTTAAGACCTCTACTCACTGCAGAAGTATATTTACCTACTATGAGGAGCACATTTTTTTACATCTCAAATTTTTGTGGAAAACTGGTAAATATTTTCTGTCTATGTTACCTAAATGCTTATGACCTTTCCCTAACTTTGTTGTAAAAAATATTAAGAGTTAAGAGAAAGATAATCCCATTTCCAAGAGAGAGAAAAGGGAGAGGAAAAAGTTTCTTACTTTCCATTCCCTAATGGCTCTTGGCACTTGAGAAGATGAGAGAAGAGAAAGATTATTATCTTCTATGTCCAAATGGCTATTCATACTCAGAGAGGAGAAAATTTCTTACCTTCCATCTCCAAATAGCTCAATACATCAGGAGAGGAAAACGTTTCTTACCTTTCAGCTACAAATGGCTCTTGTTACTCAAGGAGAGGAGAAAGTTTCTTACGTTCCATCTCCAAATGCCTCTTCATACTGGAAGAAGAGAGAGGAGGAAAACGTTTCCTATATTTAATCTCCAAACTGCTCTTAGGACCCAAGGAGAGGAAAAGATTTCTTACCTTCAATCTCCAAAAGGCTCTTGGTACTTAAGGAGAGGAAAAAGCTTCCTACCTTACATCTCTAATGGCTCTTGGTACATCAGGAGAGGAGATGAGAACATTTCTTACTTTTCACCTGCAAATGGCTCTTAGTACTTGAGGAGAGGAAAATTTTCTTACCTTCCATCTCCAAATGGCTCTTAGTACCCTAGAAGAAGATAGGAAACAGCTTCTTATGTATTGCCTCCAAACAGCTCTTCATACTCAAAGAGGAAAAAAGAGGGGAAGAAAAAAATTTTTTACTTTCCATCTCCAAATAGCTCTTGGTACTCAAGGAGAGGAAAAAGTTCCTTACCTTCCACTTCCAAATGGCTCTTTGTACTCAAGGAGAAGACAGGAGCAGAGGAGGATTTATCACCTTTGATTTCCAAATGGTTCTTCATACTCATGGAGAGGGGCAAGGTTCTTACCTCCCATTTCCAAACCACTCTTCATACTCAAGGAGAGCAGAGGAGAGCGGCAAAGTGGCGTTTCATACTCAAGGAGAGGGGAAAGGTTCTTATCTTCCCTTTCTAAAGGGCTCTTCATACTCAAGGAGAGGGACATGGTTCTTACCTTCCATTTCCTAATGGCTCTTTGTACTGAAGGAGAAGAGAATAGAAGTGGCTCTCCTACCTCTACAAACTACTTTTCCTCCAGGTTTTCCCTGGACTGCCAACCCATCCCTTTTATCCCCTTCACCTTAATTACTCACAGCTGCAACCCATTAAGGGCAAGGCTGTTCCTCTACTTTGGTAATTAGTACAGCTGTGACTTATCAGGGGCCTGGTCACCTGTTAAGATAATTAGAGCACATGCAGTAATTTTTTTGTTTCTTATTTTAAAGAGTTGCTTAGCCAGTTTCCATTGATAATGGGCAACTTTGTGAAATATTTTTTTCTTTATTTAGGAAAGATTTTCTTAAATATATCTTGCCCTTTTGCCAAAGAAAAAGGGGAAGCATCAGAGTCATTTTATACTTGCATAGTAAACATAAACTTGGCGTGTGTGCTATACAGTAGATTTGCTGGCTGTGAGACCATCTGATTTATTAGGGTTGAAGTCAGATAGCCAGGTAGGTTTGACGTATTTTGTCACAAAAAATCCAAGATTGTCTAGACAGATATACTATTTTTAGCTCAAAACCAGTGTTTGCCTGCAGATCCTTGAGGTGCAGCAGAATAGTCTGATACTATCTCAATGTACATTTGTGTCTAGGCATGTGTCAGCAGTGTCCTGGCACACCAGGCTTTGTTAACAAAATTGTTGCTAATTGACAAAGGAAAATGATTACTCACATTTATCTGATATTCATTAGATCACATTTTGAATACTCCCAGTTTTGCTTCCTAGTGCAAGACACTGGTAAACTGGAGTGAGTTGAGTGAAGGCCAACAGAATGGTCAGGGCTGGAACACCTGCCCTGTGAGCAGAAGCTGCAAGAGAGAGGTTGTTCAACCTACAGACAAGATGGATTTGGTAACACTTGACAGCAGTCTGTCCATATCCCCAGGGAAGTTAGCAAGAATGCAAATTCCTCTTATGTTGGGGCATGGTAGATGAATGAGAAACAGCAGCCCCAGACAAATAGAGGGGATGTTCCCACTGGAACAAGTTGTCCAATGATCTCTGTGAGGACAGCAAAGCACATGGACAGGCTGCCCAGGAAGTTGTGGAGTTTTTGCTATGGAGGCTTGAAACACCTGACACAAGAAAGCCCTGAGCAACCTGGTCTAAATGCTGAATTCACTATTAACTCTGAGCAGGATGTTAGAGCAGATCACTGATCTGCTGAGATCACTTCCAAACTGAGAGAGCCCATGGAAATTCCACCTTCCAAATTCTCTCATGATTACCTTTGGGTTATGCAAACCACTGAATGTATTCCCATTTTCTTAAAGAAGGTCTGAGTGCTGAAAAAATCCATGAAAAGTATTAATGTAAAAAGTATTATTTATCAGTTAATTAATAAATGGTTCCTAACTAATGGTTCCTTTCTAGGGTACCCTGTCAAAGAAGCACATTAAAATGCTGGGAGGAGAGCAAACAGCTTAAAAGCATTGAAGGAATGGAACTAGAGTGTAGTAATAAAAAAAAAAACCCCAAAACTGAAGGAGAGTGATAGTCTTTATTCAGCTGGATTTCAGAGCTGCCAATTTCTATAACAGCAGCAAGCTTGACATATATACATATGCTTGCCTGAGCCTCAGGGTACGTTTTATCAGTAACAACGTCAGTTCCTGGCCCAAGGTACTCTGCCAACATATGCTAGGATTGAAAGTCCAAGTCAAGGTGTTTTTTCTCCAATAAAGGAACAACAAGAATATCCTTAACCAGCTGACCTGTCTGAAGAGATTATTAGAGAATTTATCCTTTTGTCCACTTTTATCTATTCTTGAGTCTATACTGCAAAACAATAAAACCAATAATATCACAAAACTATAAAACAAGCAGTATTGCAAACCAAAGCTTTTAACTTCTGAAAATGATACATATTGTCTTGAAAGTTAATTCAGGTGGTTCTTACCTGTTTGGCTCCTTGGCCATGCTGTGTCTCCAATGAGATGTTGATTTCTTATGAAGTTGCAGTCAGTTATTTCAGGTGGGAAGCCTAGCAAGTTAATGAAAGTGGGATGACAGTCACCTTTGTCTTTAGTGACATAATTTTATATACCCTTGTATTTTTTGACAGTCAGGTCTTCTGTGCCAGAAATTTACTGTGAAAGAAAACTGAAGAAGAGTGACACGTTTCAGAAGTTCCAGCTGAGATTTAGTAACTTGTTGCTATGTAACAAAGGCATCACCTAACATCTAAACCAGGGGTTCAGCATTATGGATCTTTGTCCATAATTCTGACCAATGCTAGCTTGGTCATGTTGAGTAAGTTGGTGTCTTTCTGACATTTAAGAAACTGACAAATCAAAGCCCCTTGGAGCTGTTTTTTATTTATTTTTAAAAAGGCATTATGAACTGAAGCAATTTGGAACACTGGGATGAAAAATGGTAGAATGACAAGTATATCCTAAAAGAAACATAATAAATTTTGGAATGTTATGCTTGCTGTGGATGAAACTAAAGAACTTTGGGATTACCTTTTATGCTATGAAATATTTCTAGTGCAAATGAGAACAAGTTTCTGATTTCTATAAAAGCTGTTATGTGGTTATCATGCATAGAAAATATGTCCCATGGTTACTGCACAATGAATAGGATTAAAACATACAATGTAAAGGGGAGACATGAGATAATATACATTAGTAAATGTATAAATTCAGGTATTCTCTATGCTCCTGGGAAAACCAAGGGTGGATTGGAAATCAATTCCTCTGCACAAAACTGTCTTCCCCATAAATTATACATGTGTGCTACAGTGGTATCAATGTATTGTACTCCTTTCTCCATCCCCTCTCCTTTTGTAACAGCCAAACCTTTGGGTGTGGGATAGAGGGCTTGCAAGCATTTATAAACCTAAAGTCAGTGGTGTGTGCAATACTTTTAATGGACTTGCAAGGAAATTCCATAGTCATGTTTCTTTTGGAAATAATTAATTTCTTCATGTAAAGATAATGTGAAGGATGGTTGAAAAGGTGTAATTTATTTCTGTGTGCTTGCCATTGTGGCTTATTCTAGTGTTTGAAGTGTTTGCCGGCCAAAGTTCAGGGCTGTTAAGAGCATTTATTTCTGTTAAGTGATTTCCAAAAGCCATTCTGATGTTGCTGGTAGAATCTTCATGGATATTTCAGATTTTTTTTGTTTGTTTTTTGTTTTGACACTGCAGCATCTAAATATACCAATTTTATACTGAAGAAATACAGCACTTTCAAAGGATTCTGCACTGATCAATATTAACCACAAGTGTTCAGTAAGTGAGATCAATAATCCATTCAGCAATGCTGAGAAAAATTTCAAGTGACTTCTGAAAACAAAAAGCAAGTTCTATAAGAAATACTAATCACTATACAGATGCAAGAACTTACATGAAAAAAAAAAAGAATTATGAATAAAGTATTAGTTCTAAATACCCTAAATAGTGGTCAAATGATTCCACGCTCATTGAGGGGGTAATTTGGATAAGCAATTTCTTTGAACTCTTACCTTTTCCAGCAAGCACACACATATGTAGTCACTGACTCTCACTCTCTTACTTCATGTAATCAAAGTAATAAAATCTTACTCTGTGTACATTTTTCTCAGTCAACATATATACATAAAAAGAATATCACTTTCCTGTTGAAAAGCTTTAAAAATATAGAATGATTTACTAAAAAATACTTATGATAGAGCAAATTACTAAGGTAGGGATCAGAGATATAGCCCTGGCATGATATCAGAGATATAGATCTGGAAGAGATATAGACTGGGCCTAAATTTTTATCATTTTCCCTAAGTAATCTTCAATCTTTATGAAATGTAAGCTGAAAATTCTCATAGATTGTTGTTGCCAGATTTTCTTCATGTGACCTGCTAATCTCCAGTCATTTGAAGAGCCCAACACTTATGCTAAATAGCTATTGCCTGGTGTGTGTGTGTGTGTCACATGAAAAAGAAAATTATATCCACTATAACACCACAATAATGCTGCAGTCTCATTTCTTCCAGACATGAATAAAACATGATCAATATATAACTAACTTATGCTATATTGTCTATGTATAGATAACTTCATCTAAATACCTTTTGTTGAATTATTTTAATGGAGACCCTGTAATTGCGAAGTAAACACTGAAATTCAGATGAGATCTTGGATATGAGTTTGAATTCTCCATTGATTACTTAAAATTGAAATTATTTAAATGAGAACAGGTATCCAAGAAATGAAGATAGTTCTGAACAATTTATTGGTATTGAAGCCATGAATAATTCAGGACCTGCATATCTTTAAATGACACGTCATGAACTAGATTGTTGCAAATTACAAGAGTATGACAATGATATAATATCACATAAATCTGATATTCATCTACAAAGGTTGGTTGTTTGTCAAGCTGTTTGTGGGTTTGCAGCTGACCTTTAAAAACTTGAGGATGAATCAAACTACAGCATGAACAATGAAAGTCTTTCAACAAGCAAGTATAATAAATCTACCCACTTAGAGACTGAAGCAAGTATAATATATAAAACTAAAGACAAGCTTTAATAGACATGCAGAGCATAGGGAATTAATTCTGAATATAGCGAGATTAATTATAGCTATGGTCACATTGAGGGTTGAAGACGTATGAATGCATTTGCGTATTTAAGATTCCATATCCTACTTTTAACTATATCTTGAAAGAAACCATCCTAAAAGTTATCTTTGTGAAACAGAAATCTGGAACTTCAATTCCTCTACCTTTTGAAACTGTGGTTTAGTCATGATAATTGTGCTTCAGTGTAGAGAAACTCTACTTCTTTTTTGTGTGATTCTGGTTGAATTCTAAGGTGGGGAGGGAGGAAATGAAGAACTTAAAAAAATAAATGCTAATTGTGAATTTCTGGCAACTGCATTTTTAACACAGTACGAATGAGTATAAAATGCAGATTGTGAGATCCTTAGGATAAGTATGCTGCTTGTTTGGTTCAGTGCAAGGTCAACATAAGGCTTACAACACTGGCTCATTACCGGGGCTCTTCAATGCAAAGTCTAGGAAACATAAATCTTAAAGCTAGTGCCTGG